ACACACTGACTGACACTCTGACTGACACTGACGCACTGACTGACACTCTGATACTCTGACACTGTGACACTCTGACTGACTGATAGGTGCAGTCTCCGACTGATGGACATACAGATACACATGCAAATCGACTGATGTTTTGACTGATAGTTACAATTATTTATTTTTTTAATATTACGTTTGATGAACAGTGGACCGACTTTGTTCTTTTATGTGTATTTTAAAGTGGATATCTGGTTCTAATTGCAAAGCAGTCTGATTCCATCTGATCTGTAACACCTGGAGTGGATCAGCCCGCTGTGCACTGGGAGTGGCTGATCACTCTGTAACACCTGGAGTGGATCAGCCCGCTGTGATTTCAGCAGAACTGATTTCCAATGCTTGTTTTTTTTACTTATAATATTTCTGAATCTGTGTTTTTCAAAAGGAGATGAAATAACTGTATATTTTAGATGAATAAAAAACATATTTTTGTAAAGATAACTCCAGATGCCCTTGTCCTTATTTGGTGATGTTTCAGTCTCTCCCTCTCCCCTCTCTACTCACTCCCTCCTTCTCTGTCTGTGTCCAGTGTCTATGTCCAGGCTGTGGTCACAGCCTGTCCTCTCTGGGCAGCCAGATCTGCCTGTGTCAAGACAGGAGGCACTATCTTTCAACAAGAGTGGTGGGGGTGTGGAACAAGCTGCACAGCTATGTTGTAGCTGGGACCCTGGTTTCTCTCAAGGCACATCTGGATGGAATCCTGGGATCAATTAACTACAACTAACAACCAAACCGGATGGAAGGGCTGAACGGCTCCCCTCGTTTGTCACTGTCTGATGTTCTGGTGTCAAGTGCGTGACTGGCGCCACCTGGTGTCCTGGATGCGCAACTGCACCTCCATTTCTCCTGAGATGGTGTTCAAATATCCAGCAAAACGCTTGTACTGTAAATGTTGTGTTAACAGGGGGCAGGGTGGCGCTGTGGTCAGCATCTGTGTCTCGCAGGGCTGGGGGGCTGGGTTCAGCGCCTGGAGTGCTGTCTGTGTTCGTGTGGGTTTCCTCTCACAGTCCAAACGCATGCTGGTAGGGTTCATTGGTCTCTGGGAAAATTGGCCCCGGTGTGTGTGTGTGTCCTGTGATGGACTGGCCTTGGTGTGAGTGTGTGTGTCCTGTGATGCACTGGCCCTGGTGTGAGTGTGTGTGTGTCCTGTGATGCACTGGCCCTTGTGTGAGTGTGTGTGTGTCCTGTGATGGACTGGCACTGGTGTGAGTGTGTGTGTGTCCTGTGATGGACTGGCCCTGGTGTGAGTGTGTGTGTGTCCTGTGATGCACTGGCCCTGGTGTGAGTGTGTGTCCTGTGATCCACTGGCCCTGGTGTGAGTGTGTGTGTCCTGTGATGGACTGGCCCTGGTGTGAGTTTGTGTGGCTGTACCCTGCCTTGCTCCCAATGCTTGCTGGGATAGACCCCTGCTCCCCTGCGCCCCTGAACTGGATGAAGCTGTCAGAAATTGGACCCATGGGTGATGTTTAAACAGTAATGCCGAAAAAATGAACTTTGGTTCACATGACGCCATTAAAGCAAAAATGTTAGAAATTGCTACATAAAGCCACACAGTACACAGTACAGCTGCACTCAGGAGACTCAGTGCTGGGTGCTGGGAGACTTGTCTCTGCTTTGGTAGAGCTTGGTGCAATTCCTCAGGCATTTCTGACAGCGCATTTACAGCTTCATGCCCTGAGAGTCCCTCTAAAGAAGAAACAGAGGGAATCATTAAGTCCCTCTCCTCTCTCAGCCCCGCGCTGGGGTCAC